GCTGGTCATTAGTAAACAGCTGCCACCATGTTGTATGGTCAATTGCAAGCAAAAAACGCCAGCGCATTGAATGGAATGCACTTTTACTCCTAGGCCAAATGTAGAGATAACTTCATTATCAGGTAATATGATACACCAGGCCTTATCACCTATACTGCATATCCTGATCATGTTGAACACCAGTGCTTGTCACCATCCATTAAACCATGCAGTTAATACTCATGAAGTTGGTCTATGAACATGTGGACACTGTTTCAACAGCAGGGTAAACCGTGTTTGTTTTTAGTAACCTGATACATTCTGTGTCTAGTTCCACATTGGCAAGAATCTCTGGAGGGTGGGAGTTATGATACCAATTACTGGATAACGCTTTTACTGCTGCTGAGAGATCCTAAAAGATAGGGACTTTTCTAACATTTGGCCTAGGACTACTTTGGTAACTTCAGACACAACAGAATTTGGTCCGATCCCAGCAAATTAGCACCACTGGAGTGAGTGAGTTTAGTTTTACGCCGCTTTTAGCAATATTCCAGCAACATCACAGCATGGGACAACAGGAATGGGGCTTCACACACATTGTACCAATGTGGGGAATCGAACCTGGGTTTTCGGAGTGGCGAGTGACCGCTTTAACCACTAGGCTAAACCATCGTCTCTCCCACCACTGGAGGACATAGTATGCTGGCTGAGATCTACCATGATAGGATTACAACGTGCGTTGGCAGTGGAGCAATATACACACGTTCCTTGACGTGATATAATTTTTTAACGCCGATTGAAAAGTGTCATTTCACTTCACGCCAGGTTACTGTAACAGCAAAACGAGAAGTTATGCAGGCCGCGGACGAACCCACAACCGTATGCTGCTGTTAAGTTCAAGGGACACATCTCTGAAGAGGAAATGGCTTCTACTGAGAAGACTGGGCCAACGCGGGCCGATCATGAAGAAAATTAGGAAGGTGTGTATGCCAATTTGGTTACATTTTACTTCTGTTCTTAAAAACCGTTTAATTTCATGATTTGATTTTACATGTTTTACAATAACTACATGTTTAATTGATTGGAAGATTAATGCGAACTAACTGTTTCCGTGATTTTTTTACCACATTCATGCATATCCAGGTTCAGAGGTTGGTGGCGATATCCCCTGCGACTACTAGTACTTGGACAGGTCAAATTGATTGATTGATATCTCAGCTATATGGCGGCTATAATAGAGTCTGGATAAAGACAATCCAGTGATCAACAGCATGAGCAATTGGGATACGATGACATGTGTCAACCAGGTCAGCGAGCCTGACCACCCGATCCCGTTAGTCGCCTTTTACGACAAGCACGGGTTGCTACGTCCTCAGAAGCAACCGTGCAGAAAGTGATACAGTGCTTCAAAGGTTTTTCGTTAAAGATATAATTCATGTGCGACGTTTTGGATGAACACCAGTGAGAGGGAACAAAGGGTTATTTCCAACACTAGTTGGGAGAAGTGTGCTGAAAGTATGCAATAAAGTTTCGATGAAAGAGTGAGTCAGTGAGTGAGTGATCGAGTGAGTGAGTATGTTTTTACGCCGCTTATAGCATATCACGGCGGGGGACACCGGAATTGGGCTTCACACATTGTACCCACGTGGGGAATCGAACCGTGGTATTCAGCTTGACGAGCGGACGGTTTAACCACTATGCTACCCCACCGCCCATTTAGATGAAAGAAGTACCAGGAGGAATTACTAAAACGTGCATAAACCTAAGAGTGAAACAGTAGCGTAGTCTCTGTATAAAACAAATGGATGATCGTGAGTGAGAGAACAACCAGGACAGTTGAATGTAGAAGGAAAACGTGGGGTAATGCAGGTCGCATACGACACCACATTCACAGGTTCCTGCTGACCCCAAGGGACGTAACTCATGAACATCATTAATGTCTTTTTCAAATGCCGTGTAATTTGATGAGTTGATTGTATAGTTGCGAAGTTCTAACATGACGTTTAAAATGTCCATTAAACACACAAAAAGTTGCATTTACCTTAGAGTATAAATTACCATACCACGTTTAAGTTCCCATACTTTGTGTTTGTAGTATAGTTTAGTCGTACGCAACAAATTTGATGACAATGAGCGTAAGAAAGAATATGACTTAAAGCGGTCACGTGTAATACTGGACACCTTTCAGCAATGAACTCGATGGAAGTTATTCCTATCAGGGTTGAATAAAGGCGAAAGAAAACTCGCAAACATGTTTCTACAAAGTTATGGGCGAACACATTCCTATGAAGTTTAGGAAGCGAACGTAAAATATATCTTATGGCGTATATGGTTTGTTTGTTGTTTTGATGACATGCTTAAACTCTGTCAAAAAGAAACGCAACCCCTGTATTTTAGAGATTTTGATCTGAAGTTTTAGGACGACACGGCATTTTTATTATTTAAGACAGAAGTCTGAAATTTGGCAGAATAATAACCCAGATGGGCATGTTTAAAATTGTCATTTCAAAAGTCATCTCACAGACACCAGTTTGTCACCAGGGGGCGTCTTTCTCAGTATCTCGTATGAGCACCACGCGCTGTAATCACTGCACGGCATCTCCTTGGACAAGAACGGATAAGACGCCGGATTCTTTCCTGGGGAATGGCTCTCCACTCCTCCTGCAGTGCAACGGCGAGCTGTTGCAGCGTCTGTGGCGGCGGCTGACGTTGACGTACGCGTCGATCCAGAGTATCCTACAGGTGTTCAATAGGGTTGAGGTCTGGTGGATTTAGAGGGTCATGGCAAGACATTGACGTTGGAATTCTGCAGAAAGTTCATTGTTGCACGTGCAGTATGAGGCCGGGCGTTGTCCCGTTGAAAAATCTGTGTCTGTTGGTCAATAATCGGGAGAAGGTGAAGCTCTAACACGTGGTTGATGTAACGTTGGGCTGTCAGGTTCCCTGGAACGATCACCAAGTCTGATTTCTGGTTGTATGAGATGGTTCCCCAAACCATGACGCTTTCTCCGCCAAATCTGTCCACCTGTCGGACGCAGATGGGCGCAAAACGTTTATGACGTCTCCTATACAGACGCTGTCTTCCGTCGTGACGTTGCAAAAGAAAACGTGATTCATCAGAAAACCAGATTCGCCTCCAGTTTTGTAAAGTCCGTATCCTTACGTTGTTGCACCACCTGAGTCGTCGGCGTCGATGTAGGGGCGTAGTACAGGTCCAACAACTGGTCTACAGGCACGTAAACCCGCTTCTTTCAGACGGTTCCTAATCGTTTGAGCTGACACTCTCCTCAAACCTGGTATTTGTGTGGCAGTCACGGTTGGTAGGGCATGCCGATTACGCAGGTGATGGACCCGGATGTACCGATCTTGAAGGGGGGTCGTGATTCTGGCCTTCCACTTCTCGGGCGATCGTTGGTCAAATTGAAGTTGTTGTAGCGGCTCCAAAGTCGGGATATCGTTGTTTTGTGAACATTTAGGTGCCGTGCAACAGTTCCAAAACTTTCTCCGGCTTGAACACGACCAATGGCGATATTTCGGTCGGCAGCACTCAATCGTGGCATTTTTAACACAGCTTTTCGGCGACAAATGAATGAATATAATACGAAAGCACATGGGCTTTTATACACCCCTACATTAACTGCCATTTTCATGATTTGCATGTGGTTTTTTTGTGCGAAGTCACCATGAGGGTCATTTCATGCGTTGTGACGGAATAAGCAATAAAATACACTTATGCGTACAAATGCAGTTGTTTGGATGGTAATCTTCATTAATTACGTGTATCATTTCAATACATTCGAATAAAATTTAGTTTGGAAGCAATAACTTCATTCAAACGAATTTTTCATATCTGAGGACAGGGGTTGCGTTTCTTTTTTGACAGAGTTTATTTGCAGGTCCTTGTGGCCTTCAGTAAATAATCTTTTCAACCGGAATCTTTCCCTTGTTTTTTTCTTTAATAACGGTCGGGAATCATCCACGATCCATCATGTACGGTAATTTACAGTTTCACTTCCTGGTACTTCAGCGCTTTGCGCATAGGGATGTCAACACCAGTCTTTAAGAAATAAATACGTCTCGCTGCACCACAGGCTTCGCTAATTGATTTTGTAGAAACAATGTGAAACTGTGTACAGTCTAAGTTTTTTTGTTTTTATTGGTTTGACGTTAACAAAAATAGGCCTGCAGATTTCATTCAGGGCCTGTAGATTTTTAAGCCTACAGGCCCTGATGGACATCTGGCAAATTAAAGTATTGCAAACACTGACCACACATCTTACAACAAGAATGTGTTGATGAAGACCGCTGCCATATAGCTGGAATGCTGCTGAGTGCAGCGTAAACCTGAACTCACTCGCTCATTGGCTCCGGTTTATCTCGCTGATCTTCTGCAGGCCTATACTGTCACGACGATCACGAGATTAGAAATGTCTTCAAACATCTAAATCCTGTATACATGTACAAACATTCGGAGATTAGCCATAAACATCTTGTCCAGGTCTGTGTAACAATGTCCCACCAACAGAAAACACTTTGAGGACTATTCCATGAATCAAAGAACTTTTTAGCTACAGCGAATTGCTGGATACAAGCGCTATACAAGTGGATATTTTGATTGATGTGAAAAACATTGTTTCAATTTGAAAATGCAAAACTATATACTGAACAATACTGACTGTGACGATATGCAACTTTCAGTTACTAATGTACCGTTTAGATTATATGACACAACTAGTTGAAAAAATTATACATCTCGCAAATGTACCTGGAAAATATAAATAGGTACTATGAAACAGAGAAGTTATTTATTCATTGTCTGTTACAGGTTAAACAACACCAAATGTTTTCCCATGGACTTCAATAGCAACGAAATATTGTCTTAACAATAACCAGTTCGTCAATAGACTTTAAGTGTATATGTATGCACAGTATGGCCTTTAAGCCACAATAAAAGAGCACCGAAAGTTGCACACACCAACCCCAGTGCCGCACCAAATGTCACCTACTTGTCACCTACATTCAGCAGATATTATTGTGTGAATAATAGACTAAATATTGAAAAATATGGTCAGTTTCAATAACTTGGTATACATCTTACACAACAATCTTACACTAAATCATCCAATTACAAATGTCATTCTGCTACAAAAAGGTGTTTGTTAATCTACGGAATCGAACTTGGTGTAGTATAACATCTACACCAGTGGTAACTACAGCTGCCCGGATTCTGTAAACCCTTTTAAAGAATCTTTCTCAAGACTTAGACCTTTCCAAGTTCTTCTCATTTAGTCTTTTCCAGTAACCAATCAAAGAACATTTCAGCCGCTTTCGTCGTCAGTTCTATGCCATCGTTCACCTACAAAGACAAAAATGTACCTTTATCACGAACTCACCTTTCCGAACCAAAAGGAATATATATTGATGTACAAAAGAAAGTACACACATCTATGGTGTTATTGCAATCACAATCAAAACACTGTTCTAAATATTACGCTGTTGTTAGAAAAAAACCCATTTTACCAAAGCATCAAGTGTGCACTTTCTCTTGCACGTCAGTTTACATCTAGATACCAATTGTAATTGTGTTCTCCTATAGGGATGTTTGTAGCTTTTGTTATAACCTTACATTTTCTGTGGGAACCTTTTAATGAGAACCCATGACACGTGATATTTACACACATATATTATTGTTAAGAGAGGGTGAATGCGTTGTCGTTGGACCCCATCACCTTCAGTTAGCCTTGTACAGAATTATACTGAACAGAACACATGTCACATCTACTTTGGAAACGAATGAAACGATTCCCACCTGGTCACTTATTTCAATGTCGTAGCAGCACCACGACACAAAGTGTTCACAGTTGCTGGCAAGCATGTTATATCCCTTTCTGCCAAGCTGGCTCTTGGCTCTCTCCACGATCTCCGATTTGCTGAAGGTTCTGCAAAGTGGATAACATGTATTTTCCTTTTGACTGTATGCTTCCTGCATAAAAGCAGGACAAACCTTAGTCTAAATCAGAACAAACTTTCGTATATACCAAACAGAACAAAATTTCCTCTATACCAAACATAGAGCAAACAAACTTTAGTCTGTGGCAAAACAGAACAAACCTAAGACTATAACAAACAGGAAAAACTTTTGTCCATACCAAACAGAACAAATTTAGCCTATAACAAACAGAACAAACATTAGTCTAAAACAAACAAAACAAACTTTAGTCTATACCAAATAGAACAAACTTTACTCTTTACCAAACAGAACAAACTTTACTCTATACCAAACAGAACAAACTTTACTCTATACCAAACGAACAAACCTTAGTCTGTGGCAAACACAACACACTTTAGACTATAACAAACAGAACAAACTTTAGTCTAAAACAAACAAAAAGAAACTTTAGTCTATACCAAACAGAACAAACTTTAGTCTGTGACAAACAGAACAAACTTTAGTCTATACCAAACAGAACAAATTTTAGTCTGTGACAAACAGAACAAACTTTAGTCTATAACAAACAGTCTATTAGTCTAAAACAAACAGAACAAACTTTAGTCTGTGACAAACAGAACAAACTTTAGTATATAACAAACAGTCTATTAGTCTAAATCAAACAGAACAAACTTCAGTGTGTAACAAACAGAGCAAACTTTAGTCTGCGACAAACAGAGCAAACTTTAGCCTGTGACAAACAGTGCAAACTTTAGTCTGCGACAAACAGAACAAACTTTAGTCTGTAACAAACAGAACAAACTTTAGTCTCTACCAAACAGAATAAACTTTAGGTTATACCAAACAAAACAAACTTTAGTCTGCAACAAACAGAACAAACATTAGTCTGAAACAAAGAGAACAAACTTTAGTCTGAAACAAACAGAACAAACTTTAGTCTGTAACAAACAGAATAAACTTTAGTCTAAGCAAACAGAACAAACCTTAGTCTATAGCAAACAGAACAAACTTTAGTCTATAGCAAACAGAACAAACTTTAGCTCTTACAAGAGTTAACATGTCCAGGGTAACTCTTGTGTATAATATATTTTCATGTTAAAGAATCTATTCACGTCCATGATTTTTCAGTCCGTGGATGGTTTAGAGAGAACAAAAACCTAGAACCAAAAGTCAGCACTCAAATCTTCAACATCCCTTTCCGAAACCAAAATGAGTAGAACTGTGTATTATTGCTCATACTACTAAGGTTATCAACAAAGCTTAAATATATTCAAATTTGAAAGATGCCTCAATGAAGCAGGCAGTCCTAAGCAGAATCTCAGCACCACTCCTTGACAGAAACGGTATCTTATGTTCTCAACTCTGACTACAGTGAGAGGATTACATATGGGGTCTAGTTTCTTCCACAAGTAATTCATTCTTTCATTTGTTTCTTACTTTAGTCTGTATCTCCGGCCTTTTGAGTTGTTTTTATTCATCTTGCATTTCTTCGCAACATCCTGGATTTTGTCTCTACGTACAACGGCTTTTTCAGTCTTTCTAAAGCTCTCACCATCAAGACTGGCCAGGTGAATCACGAAACCATCACCTGTGGCCATAATGTTCGAACTTATTACATGTTTGTTTCATTCAACACTGGACGGAATTCTTATAGTGTTACCTACTGATTACACTGTATAGCAGATGAGGGGAACTGATTTCGATCAATATATGTTAATGGACGATTGCAATGTATAATAGATGGAAATGAATGGATATTGATCAGTGTATATTACTTAGGGATTATAGTTTCAAGCAGATGGGAAGCATTAATTCTGATCATCAGATGTTAATGGACGATTGCAATTTGAGCAGTTGGGTACGAATGGATTCTGATCAGTGAATATTAATGAAATTACAGTTAATAGCAGATGGGATGCATTAATTCTGATCAATCGATGTTAATGGGCGATTGCAATGTATAGCAGATGGGAACGAATGGATTCTGATCAGTGAATATTAATGAGATATTACAGTGTATAGCAGATGGGATGCATTAGTTCTGATCAATCGATGTTAATGGGCGATTGCAATGTGTAGCAGATAGGTACGAATGGATTCTGATCAGTGAATATTAATGAGATATTACAGTGTATAGCAGATGGGATGCATTAATTCTGATCAATAGATGTTAATGGACGATTACAATGTGTAGCAGATGGGAACGAATGGATTCTGATCAGTGAATATCAATGAGATATTACAGTGTGTAGCAGATGGGATGCATTAATTCTGATCAATAGATGTTAATGGACGATTGCAATGTATAGCAGTTGGGAACGAATGGATTCTGATCAGTGAATATTAATGAGATATTACAGTGTATAGCAGATGGGATGCATTAATTCTGATCAATAGATGTTAATGGGCGATTGCAATGTGTAGCAGATGGGAACGAATGGATTCAGATCTGTGAATATTAATGAGATATTATAGTGTATAGTAGATGGGGAGCATTAATTCTGATCAATAGATGTTAATGGGCGATTGCAATGTGTAGCAGATGGGAACGAATGGATTCAGATCTGTGAATATTAACGAGATATTACAGTGTGTAGCAGATGGGATGCATTAATTCTGATCAATAGATGTTACTTGGCGATGTGTAGTAGATGGGAAAGAATTGCTTTTTGGTTTTTCAGTGTTACTGGTTGATTACCTAAATTACGTTGGAATATTGTACAGTACTAACCAAAGGTGGACCGAGACCATTAATTGTAGTTCATATAAAGGGGACAATAAAGGAAATACGAATCTCTCATTTATTTTATTTCAAAGTGTCAAAGAGAACCAGTGAATATTTGCCTACCAATGTACACGCCCCAGTGAGAATACAACACTCTCCCAAATTCCACCTGGTCACCGGGCTCCAAGCTGGACAACACGGCGTCGTTGTGCTTTTGGATCGTTGCCATCGTTGCCATGGTAGTGATCGGTTATCAAGTATCCCGTGGAGATGTCACTCTGTTAAGCCCAAAGGTAAAATGAACTATTATAATGCATTGTTTAAAATTAGTGACATTAAATGTCATTGGCATAGCGTGTTTATGAGTATCGGTCGACTCTGTTTAATCCTAAAGACATTTCCCGGCGGCCAAACAAACCATTTTGTGATAACATATTTAACAGATACATAGTCAGTTACAGGTGGGGCGGTGGGGTAGCCTAGTGGTTAAAGCGTTGGCTCGTCATGCCGAAGACCCGGGTTCGACTGCCCACATAGGTACAATGTGTGAAGCCCATTTCTGGTGTCCCCCGCCGTGATGTTGCTGGAATATTGCTAAAAGCGGCGTAAAACCAAACTCAGTCAGTCAGTCAGTCAGTATACTAACAGGTAAATGTGTTGAGTAACTACATGTTCTACATGTCGTGTTGTCAGACATTTCAACGACGATCACAGATATCGTGTCCTAGTCCGTCCATGGTGTATTTACAGAACCAAGTCAAATCCGGAATTACCGAGTGTATTGAAACCAAAAATACATTGCTTGTAATGCAATTCCCGATATAGCTTGTACATGTTTCGACAACTTCCAGCTGTGACACACTGTTCAAATTACACGAAGAAGTGAATCGCAAATTTACTTGTACAGAATATTAAGCTTACGAATACTGAGTCACAAACTTGCAAACATGGAATCACAAACTTACAAACATGGAATCACAATCTTACAAATACTGAAGCACAAAGCACACAAACAGACACAGACACACACACGAAATCAGTTACAGGAACTTTTACAGGAGGTTATTTTTTAGAAACGGTACCCCGCCGTGATATTGCTGGAACATTGCTAAAAGCGGCGTAGAACTAAACTCACTCACTCCCTCACTCACTGAAGAAACGGTCCCCGCCATGATATTGCTGGAACATTGCTAAAAGCGTCGTAAAACTAAACTCACTCACTGACTCACTCACTCAAGAAACGGTCCCCGCCGTGATATTGCTGGAACATTGCTAAAAGCGGCGTAGAACTAAACTCACTCACTCCCTCACTCACTGAAGAAACAGTCCTCGCCGTGATATTGCTGGAATATTGCTAAAAGCGTCGTAAAACTGAGCTCACTTACTCACTCAAGATACATCTAAAGGATAAACACGTTCAAGTTGTGGTATGATGTTCGAATTACACGAAAAAGTGAGTCACAAACTTACTAATCGTGATTTACAAATTTACAAACATTAAATCACAAACTTACACATGCACAATAAGTAGTCACAAGCCTACACTACTGAATCACAAACTTACCGATACTGAATCACCAGCGAACAAGAGCGAAGCGCAAACTTTCACACATTTATTCACAAACTTACAGAACTATATGACAAATTTAAAAATGAATTGCTTGTTCATAAAATACGCTATACACTTTATATACAATAACATGTTATTAATCTGTGTCAGACGAGCTATACAAACATACAAACACTTACATTCCGTGCCTTCAGCTGTGCGGTGTACTCCCCTCCCGACTACCTTTCGTAGCTCCTGCACAACGTCTTGTGTCATCTTGACCTGGGTTTTCCCAGGCATGAATTCCCGAGAAATCCTCACTGCGCGCAACGGAAATATCCATTTTCAGTGTGGTCGGCGCTATTTCACTCTCGATCAGAGACCGAACTATATTCATCGCGTGGTACCCTTTCTCAAATCGCGCGTATTATTCTGTGTAACTGTTTCTTTGTGTGCGCGGCGCCATATACTTAGGGGATAACGGTACTGTTTGACGAATTGGGGACGGACACCGGTGGTTTTGTAGCCGCAAATTTACTCGTCGCCGATGTAACTAATAAAACTGTGTCTATAACACCACCAGTATACGTCCCCAATTCGTCGCACACAGTTAAGTTATCCCCGTTCTAATTCAACTCAATTTACGCTGTTTCTTTCGTGAAAGAAATTCATTATTTGAACCAGGTAAAGTTCCTCTAGGTCAAAGGTTAATCGAATCACTCCTTGAACTTACACCATCGCCAGAAAACGTAGTTCCCTTTTAAAACTTCACCACGTTTATTATGTGCACACTGACTAAATCTGACAATGATGAATACATCAAAATGTTAGAACTAAAATGGATGGAATTATGATGAAACCGCCCTCTAGTTATCAGAAATGAGTGAGGCGCTGCAAATAGCCGACTGATTCCTTAACCTCCTGGATGCCGAATTCTTTTTCAGACGCACATTTAATAAAGTTTGAAAAGTGAACGCTGTGGGAGAATTGCGCTCGCGTGGTTCTGGATCTGTGTACGGCTAGAAAATTACACAGAAATGTAGAATATCCGTTGGTATAAATATAAGTGCAACTACCACTGCAGAATTCAAAACTGTGAAGTGTATTTGTGTGCGTGATATATTTAGAATTTTACTGGACTTCAAGTGAGGGTTGAGGACATATATGGCACCCAGGGGTAAAGCGCTGTGTCCTCGGTTTGGGTTACACACAATCAAACACGCCACCGAGACATTTATTCGCCTCTTGTGATTTGTTTTGGACACTTAACCCTGGGTTTCCACGGGTCTTACCAATAGCGTATTTAAGCAATTGAAATGACTGGCGTGACTAAAGCCATGCATCTGGTAGCGGTTACGGACAACAGATTTCAAATGTGTGCTGTGACATTGTAACAGGGAGTAAACTGGCCTACACAGGGGCTAGGAGTGAGTTTAACAATATTCGAGCAATATCACAGCGGGGGATACATTGTACCCATGTAGGGAATCGAACCCGGGTCTTCGGCGTCATGAGCGAACACTTTACCACTAGGCCACACTATCGCCTCACATGACAATCAAAAGATTCCCTGTAGGGTTTCATAATAGTAAAAGTTAACAGTTCTTCGTGAGGTAATGTGTCGTACCCTCACTATGTTGTAATGTCTATTGTCTTGCCGTATTGTTGTGTCGTGTGCTGTCGTAGTGGTGTAGTGTCGTGTCCCGCTGTCGCCCGGAGTTAGTTAAGTACGACACCAAATGTTATCAGTTATCAGAAACGCCGTAAGAGCAATAACTATTAATAACAAAAAAACATCAACGATAAACATCCACCAACTTTTCCTTGTCATTACATCCCCAATATTAAAGAAGCATAGTCTTAAAATACAATTGTAATCAAGACATTTCACAAACACTTTGCTAATTATTTATGATCCTATACATCCGTTATTTAACTTTAAATTAATAAGAATTTCATTATAAGCTTACAAATACCGACTGACAAACATAGATCTTCTGAATCACATTTTATTTTTCCTACTTTATAACTATTGTGTGCCAAGTCACGAAATATACCAACATTTTCCTTCCTATCACTGACGTCTTCATAAAAATCTCCTACCTAAGGCAGCTCTTCACAGTTGGCCTTCCTCTTACACGGTGTTATGTCATCTTGACATCGCATGTCAGATAAATTAACTGGGGTGTAACAAACTTTCGCATTACAAAAGTCTCTGCTCGTAGGTAGACAATAGGACAATAGTGACTTCATGCCAACCTGACGCAAAAAGCATGACTTCATTTGTCAGCTTGCATAAACAACCTTAAAACGGTCATCTGTAAAGCGGAACAAAATAATTCATCAAAGTGAGTGAGTATGGTTTTACGCCGCTTTTAGCAATGTCCAAGCAATAACACGGCGGGGAGTTCATCAAAGGGAGAAGTTACATGTTCATTTGTATGCTCAACATGTGCTAGAGTAATATCTTGTGTTAAAACAAATAGATTCAAGTAATACAATATGAAAATATGTCCTAATATGAACTACCTAAGGTGTTCACAAAACAGTACCTAGTAAATAAAAGCGAAGATGTTCACAAAACAGTACCTAGTAAATAAGCGACAAAACCCTTTCCACATTCTATATAAGAGTTCTCTGCTAAAATCTGAGTCGGTTGCACAATTGTGACTATATCATGAGCATATATTTGTTTCAGCACTATTAGAGTGTAACACATGTACAAATTCAGAACATGGAAATGGGAGACATTGTAACGTAACATTGTAAGTTGTTGTTCACTGATCAGGAGTACGACTGCAACGATTAATTCCAGACCTCGATTCGATTCGATTTTAGATATTGGACCCTCGATTCGATCATTTTCTTTCGATTCTTCATACAAGTAAAACATCAGATTTTATTTAGCTCTAAGAGTTGGTCTTTTTAGCGTGAAATCAATCGTCAACTTGGCGATATTTACTAACAACAATTTTCATTGGATAATAATCAACCAATCACGTTTCGCATTATTTCGCGAGTTGAAGTCAAATTTACGTTCTGGCTGTGTGGAAATAATTTAAACAGGTATTACAATATCGAATCGAACTAGTGATCATGGTTATCGAAAATCGAAACTAAGGTGTCAGATTTGATTTTCGATAAATCGAATCGAATCGTTGTAGTCCTTCAACTAAGTGGCTTCTCCTGATGCGTGACAAAACACCGAGGTCGAGATAAACAGGTCGAAACGAAAAACATATTTTCTAGGTATAAATGACATAGATATACATTGACAGGTTTTGTGATTCAATAGTATTTTCATTTGTTAATAGTATGGTCATTATTATTTCATTTGGATTGAAGTGTTAAATATTTCTTTCTAATGACAGGGCCATCCACAATGTTGTGCCATTGCCATCTACAACATAACGGGAGTTCCATGGTGGAGAAAACGCTCTTGTCCTGTGTGTGTGGTTCTCTGTTGACATAAATTTACGTAGTTTACTTAGGGTTTACCCGATGTGCCATACAACTATGTGTATCAAATCTTCAAGCAGATTGGTGGCGGTCGGGTGGCCAAGTGGTTAAAACGCCGGAAGCCCGGGTTCGATTCCCAACATGGGTAAAATGTGTGAAGGCAATTTCTGTTGTCCCCCCGCCGTGATATTGCTGGAATACTGCTAAACGCGGCGTAAAACCACCAGTAACAGTATCAGTAGGTACTTAAACGGTCATATGATAGTTTTTTGTGTGCATAAATAAAAATCACCATGCCTCCTTCAAGTGCTTTATCAATTTTTACAGTCAAGCTTATGTTATGAGAGTGTGTTTTTTGTAATTTGTATTATATTTTAGACTTGACTGTGTTCTATTTTGCTGGTTCAAATGGGATTCTTAAACCTTTTGTCACTGCAAATTTATTAACCGTAACACTAATTATACAACTATGGCTGGCACTAGGGTTATATTTCCCACATTAATTAGCAAGACTCTATGTTTCCTTTACAGTATTAACACATTTCATTTCAATGAATTTTGTAAAAGCTACTTTGTTTTAAAACGCTGCAAGACTCAGCTCTGCCATGGAGTCCTGAGACTTCGGCAGTCAAACCAGTGTTTGATATAGTAAGCAATGTTTACATCATAAGTGTATGCTGGCACGACATAAGCAAAGGAACCGATTTTGATCACCAAATGCGTTGAAGTCGCCTATTGAAACAAAAGGTAGTAAGATCCTAAAGTCTGTCTGGGAAAGCACACAGCCTTTTGACACATATAGTGTTCATACAATGTTTTTGTATATACTAAGCAGATGTTGTAGGAACTTAACGTTACTGTTACTGCTTTAAGAGGGAGATAGAGTAAGAGTTATCGTTCTTGTTTCACAGCCTTCATACTACATGATGTAATCTTTTGTGAGGGACGCAAGTATCCAAAGACATGTCCCGGAACTGCCAATATGAATGCTTGGAAAGACTGAATGAACAGATGCATGACTGGGACTTGAATGTTTGCTAATAGTACGAGTTGGCGAGGAATCATGTTCCCGGCCCTAGTCTTATCAAAAACTTTGAATTTGGCAACATAATGCTGTTAGATATGTTCTTGGTAATATCTGAATAAATTACAGTTTACAATCAATGTCATAACCGATATAAGTGCTGAGGAATATTTTTATCGAAGTACTTCAATACTTACGAGCAATTTGATTTGTCGCGCGTAACATTTATCGATAGGGTACGAGTTTCTTGGAGATTACGAAAAGGGCTAGTGGTGACGAATGTCTCGGAATACAAACGTTATTTTATAAACAATGAGATTGGTGTATACTGAAAACAAGGTGTTGGAGCTTACATGTTACTGCTGTAACACACAGACAGTATAAGAGTTATCATTCTTGTGCTAGAGCGTTCACATATTTCATATGGTTTCTTGTTAAGACAACATTGCACTATGGCTAGGTGAGAGATGCGAACTAGGTAATCAGCATTAGCCACTGAAGCGTGAGCCTTTGTTCAAGGGGTATAGTCTGTATCTACAAAGCGACACTATTTAAGATGTATGCAAGTGTGTGTGTGTGTGCGTGCATGTGCGTGCGCGCGCGCATGTGTGTGTATGTGTGTTGTGTGTGTAATATGAACGCAAAAGAAACAGCATTTCAGATAAAATAATATTTATTAACATGTTAACCTTTTTTGACAGAATCTGGCTTAGTGAGAAGACACCATATCATACTACTTGATGGAATCTTTTGTGGGGGTAAATAGACTTGTCCCGGAACTGTCAATATGGAATCCTTAGAATAGCCGAATGAACAGGAACATGACTATCGCCATTAGCTTTTCCCGGAATGGTACGAGTTGGTGAGGAATGTAGGTGCATTCGTCAAAACAATACACAGTTTCAATGATTGATGTATTCTGTTTTACTCGCAACCATTTTGTATTTGAAATTGAACACTTTTCTCTTTATTTCCTGCTTGCAAAAAGCAAGCCAAGCAACACTGCACCGGACAAAATGAGCGCACCAACGCCTAGTCGAGTCAACGCACGGTTAGCCTAAAGGAAAGAAAAACGATTGATGTTTGATTTGTTTACTACATTCATAATGCGTTGCCCAAATCTCAGACAACACTTTTTAGTCCTATAGTCCTACGGTTTTGATATAAGAAACATCGAATGTTTGTTTACCTTTCAAAACAGCCGGAACATTATGTGTTACGACCCCAAGGGGAATCGTTTGACGTCTCTTCTTTATGAAGAGTGAGTGATAGAGTTGCTTTTTGCACCTCTTTCAGCAGTATTCTGGGGTACACAAAGTGTACTCATTTGGATAATGCCAGCTATGACCTAATGAAAAACTTGTACGTCTTGAAAAAGATATTCCCATTCAAGAACAGAATGCATAGTTTTAAACCAGACGTCGTCTTGTGGGAGGAGTACTGCAAAGCTTTCTATAGAAGCAAAAACTCCAGTGATCAGTTCATATCACTTTTATTAACATTTTACCATTGAACAAGGGCATATTATTTTGCTATATAGTAGAGACTGACCACATCTGATGTTGACGTCAAGGCCATTTGGTACAAGACCTTCCTGACCTGGCTACCAGAAGACCAGACTGATATTTTTTATATATTTGTAGGCTTTACCCCTCAACATGTCCTTTTGCAACAATAACTTCCAGTATTGGCAAGCAGTAAATAAGTATTTTGTATATGTGACCAGTAGCAAGTAAAATATTTTTTGTCTGAGCAGATCTCAACGTTTTTTAATAGTCGATCTTCTAGTACAATTTACAGAGCCTTGTGGAAGACAAATGAACCTAGTTTTGCAAATACAAACCTGATCACTCTCTTGTTTTCCGTACCGGCACCATGTAGCAAAGTGTTCGCAGTTTTGGAAGACTATGTTATATTTAAATTCACGAAGCTCTTCGGACAATGCTCTGTCTACTATCTCACGTTGTTGAAAGGCTCTGGAAACAACAAAACAACAATACTATCATTTGGAATTCAATTCCTTGGTACTAACGAAGACTATGAAAGACCTCAATAACTAGATATAAACCGTTTTCCAGGATTTCAAAAATGACCCGTTATTCTAGGATCGTTACAAGGAGTAAATTTCACTTACGACAGTATCAATCACTGGTTTGTCTGGTCCAGAATCAATTACATAGATGTCACACCATCTTACAGCTGGGAATAGAATGAGCTCTGCATTGAACAACAAACAAAACTCACTTCAATTGTTTGTCCTTTGAGTTGTTCTTGTTCACTTTGCTGTTTCCAACAACGTCGAAAAACGCATCTTTTCTAACCAGTCCTTTCCAAGTCGAAGTGACACACGTTTTGCATTGGCTGTTCTGGTCTCTTCCACCACAGTCTCCAAAGAAGTGCACGACTTCCTCGCTGCCTAAATTACACATGGCGAATACGTTATTAATAATTATTACCAGATATCTATGCACTATTGTCAGAAATTATTACCTTAATGATATCATATGAGGTATTGGTGTTCAAGAAATAATCTTTCAGTAAAGGTATCTTCAGGTTAATAAAGAATCTACGTGTTTAAACTTTTAAGAGACTCAAATACAAAATATTTACACCTTGACACGTATGGTTTTGAGACTCACAAATCGTGTTTGTTTCTCCGTTGTTCAATCGGACACATGCTACTTTATGATGACTGTCGGTAAACAATCGAGTCTGGACCGGACCATCCAGTGATTAGCATTATAAGGTTGTATAAACCATGACAGCGATCATGACAGCCTGATCCCGTTAGTCGTCTATTACGGCAAGCCGGGGCTTCTGAAGATCAATTCTAACTCACAGGCAGGACATGTGCATTATGATATCCATTGAATGACGGAATACTAGATTCACAACTTCACTGTGTTTTACTGAGAATCGGTATATTTATTTTGAATACTAACAATTTCATGGATCGATGCTCATGATTTCAATCACTGGATTGTTTGAGCCAGCCTTGATTATTTACAGACCGCTGTCATATACCTCAATTATTGCTGATACAGCATTCAACAAGAAAGAAGCAGACAAACAAAAGATTTTGCATTTTGTTACTCTAAACTTACCAATATACACAGCCCAATGATTGATCAATCCTCGATCAAACTCCAAGAGGTCACCTGGCTGTAGGTTGTCAAGTACTGCTTGGTTGCGTTGCTGTACTTCAAAAGACGTCATTTTTCACTACCCCTTAACTTGGTGAACTGGATCTTCAAATATTGTTTTCTGAAACACCAAGAGAAAATGCAGAATATTCTTCTAGCATTAGCATGCAAACACAAAGAGGAGCCCCACAATCAACGACTAGAGGACGATATTAAGATCAATGAACATTTACAAAGTCAAGCTCAAATAACAACGAAAACGAAAACGCATCTGATGTCATCCTAAATATTGCTAATGACATTAATACTCAGTTTGACATTGTCACTTTCAACACATTTCATTTGCTGTATCACGATACAATTTGGAACGGAAATGCCTCCAAATGCCTATTACCATGATGTCATAGTGGTGTTATTTCTGTTGTCAACTTGTCATGCTATCCTTGTGGTAGAATGTCTGTCTCCATAATGTCATAGTGGTGTTATGTCTGTCTCCATGATGTCATAGTGGTGTTTTGTCTGTCTCCATGATGTCATAGTGGTGTTATGTCTGTCTCCATGATGTCATAGTGGTTTTATGTCTGTTGCCATAATATTTTTGGTAATGGGTAAACTATGACGTAGATTTGTTGTAGTATTAAAATTAAAGTGAAATATGTTCGCAACCGAATGGCCGATAATGTATATCGATTGATTGATCAACTGATATGAAGGGCAGTGATTTCATCTTGAGACTATGGCATTTGCTCCTCCTACAGAAAACCTGGGTTAGATTCCTCACATAGGTAGAATATATGCAAATCTGGAGTCGTAATACTGTTGGAGAGGTGCTAAAAGCTCACTCATTCTCTGACGCAGCACTGTACATCAATGTCAATACAAAATTGATATCATAAATCAACCGTAAATTCCATGCAGTTGTAAACATTTTTAGCATCAATAGTTGAAAATATTAGCTTAAAGATTCAATTGATTTCTATACGACATAAACCTCCAGCCGCGTAATTAGAGACCGTGCTGGAAAACTGTTGAGTGCAGTGTTAAATAACAAACAACACTCAACACTTCATTAGGATAAGACAATGGCCAAGTATGGGTTACTGCTATGTCCGTATTTCGAGGACAGCTTAATGGGAGAGAGAGTTTATTTCGTACAGGGGCCACCGACCCGTTATACAATTTCAAAGAAGACAATACAATCCAGCGCTATACATAATATAAGCTGTATGCTAACATGTACAATGTATCACTTAATTTTATACTCTATATTCATAAACTTCGCCCCTAATGTCAATGCAAGAAATAAAAACTTAGCAAGATTCTTAACAGTTGTAGAATTGCAAGACAATAATAAGCTGATAAATTTAGTTTCACATGGATTATTTATGTAGTATTGTGGGAGCAGGCTGTTTCTCAGATCACAGTAAAATGCACATTCAATACAGAAGTGGTACTCTGATTCAATAGTAAGTACAATACACAGGGGGGCAGAATCGCTCATGTTGTTTTATATTTTATTTTTCTCCCATATTCCAACATTAAAGGATGGTCTGAACAACTAAACTTACTCAAAGCAAAACGAAAAACATTGACCTTAACCAGTGACAGATACGCTTCAGATATTCAGAATTAACCCTCAACTGGATAGTTTTATACAACTTTAGCTTAGAATAAACTTTCAAAGAACTTAACCATTCTTGAGTATAAGTATCAATGCGTCTCTGTTTAAACTGTCTTATACAATAATCAACATCAATAACCCCCTGATCAAGCCAAATTTGACCAAATCCATATTTAAATAATAAATTCTTTACATATAGTGCCCAACAGTTGATACCTTTGGAAGCCAACTTCCGTTGATAATTATAAACATGTTTCAATATTACATTTTTCTCTAGAGCAAAAGCTTTAACCAATATTTCATGATTTTTACAAACTGATTAACTTTTACAGTGTAACGTCCAAGTTCACCCCTTGCAACAACATTGGGAATGTTCCTTGATAAATGTAAAACTGACTTAAAAACTTTATCATAAACATTAATTACATTAGGTGAGGGATGAAAGCCCCAGACTTCACAACCCGCAATATGATAGGTAAATTTTTAACATAAAATATATCGAGGATAGCAGATAAGGGAACATTACGAAAATTGTTCAATGACATTTTAACACACTTGGGAGCTTTCCATGCTTGATGTGCTAAAGTATTTTGAGTACAATAGAGAGAACCAGAGCTTGAAAAATGGATACCTAGATATTTATAGGTAGGAACAATTTCTACAGAAGCACCATTTACAGGGAAACGTTCATACTTTTTAAGAGGTCCTGCTTTTCGAAAAACAATAACTTTAGTCTTGTTGATGTTAATTTGAAGGTTCCAGTCTTTCCAATAGAAAAAAAGTGTATCTAATCTTTTTTGCAACCCTCAAACAGTGCTATCAAACATTACAATAGCATCTGCAAAGAGAAGAATGAATAATTCTAAAAAATGAAGATTAATATTTCTCTGGTTATCTGCTGCTAAAACAATCAACAATGTCATTTATAAAAAAAGAAAACAAGAAGGGTGAAAGTTGACAACCTTGTCCTACACCATACAAACAATCAAAGGCTGGTGTATAATCATTTGTGTAGAGACACAAGACTTCACATTTTGGTACATATTTTTTAAGAGCCTGTACAGTTTCCCTTTACTATTTCCAAGCCAAAGTTATGTACATTAAAAATTGTCTATGAACCGAATCAAAGGCAGATTTTAGGTCAATAAAATAACAGTACAGTCCCACTTTATGCAGAGATAGGTACTTTCTAATAACTGTATCTAAAATTAATATATTATCTACAGTTTGGAAGCCAGCTCTAAATCCTGCTTGTTCTGGAGTGATAAAGTGTTCATGCTCTGCCCATTCTGTCAGTCTACTGGCAATGACTTTAGCAAATATTTTCCCTGACACTTCAAGGAGTGTGATAGGTCTAAAGTTAGCCGGGTCATTCACACTACCAGTTTTATGCAATGAAAGTATTACCCCTAGTGTCCATTCGTTTGCATAAATTCCACTTAAATTCACTTATTGAATCAACGAAAATCCGAAATGATTCCTGAAATTCTTCGTTGACAGCTGAATTATTTATACCTTGAAAATGTTACTCAAAATATACACTAAACGCCAAAAGAAACGTTACCCTCCTACATTTCTGAATTGCTTAAAAACTATGTTGGAAGGTATTAGTTTACAAGAAAGCTTAACAACACAGCCATATGTAAATCACGAAACAAAATTCTCAAATGCATTCATATTTAGGTGAAATTGCATCTTTTTCAGAAGAGTTAAATTGTCCCTATTTTCGTCCATTCCGAAATATACCAAAAACAGTGATTTAGATGTCAAAAGAAAGGTTGAAACAAACATAAACCATTTAAAATCACCCTTTTTCAACTTTTAAAACAAGAAACAACTGTTGTAGAGTGTGTAAAATTGTAAAATAACCATTCCTATGATTTAAAACATTTTCTGCCGATTTGCATTAGTGAAAACAAATAAAACGTGTCTTTCATATTGTGAAAAAAATGTTTAGGAACATTTAAAATTATCCTTGTTAACATCTTTGTTAACATTTTTGCTTGCAAAGTAACATTTTTCCATTTTCTGTTTACACATGGCAAATATCAATTGCCAAAACGCAGCAATATTCAAGCAGTATTTGCATCCAATTTACATGTAGAATGATTCTATAGGGTATAAAGAGAGCCTAGAATGCATGTTATGATACACAAGTACGAGAAATATGCCACGATTAACAGCTGAAGAGAGAGAAAGAGCCATTGTGGTGGTGCAGATGGGGTCGACATAAAATGATGTTGCGAACTCCCTCGGATGCCATCGTATCACGGTTGTAAAACATATTCAGGACTTCAGACAGACTGGGGTCACCGTAGACAGACCAAGAAGTGGACGTCCACGCATCACAACGCCAGCTGTAGATATGTATCTCCGTCATTAAGGAAGGAAGATAACGTTTCTTTTGGCATTTAGTGTAAGTTCCAATCAGATGCTGTAATACTGTAATAAGTTTGTGAAGAACGTCCCTTGACTATTTTCCAGAAAGCTTTAGTGTCTTTATTTGACAATGTTTCCTAAAGTCAAATTGTCATCTCCTCTGATGCTAGACACGCTTTCGTAGCACACAAATGTTTGTATTTAGTCCACGCTTCTATATATCGACGTCTATCATCAACTCGGTTAGTTGAGTGAAACACACGTAAAAGCTTTAATGGAGAAAGTCAAAACCTATCGTGTACCGCAAAAGATAACTTATACAATAGTAACGCAATAGTATCGGTATATTGGACAGGGCAGCAGTGTGACGAGACTGGTAATCTCCGTGGTATTGTGCAACTGTGGCTATAAATAGACACACCGTGCCAGCTCACCTTGTCCTGAGATTACGAGAGAATTAAGTGGCAACGATTATATTTATAACGTGAAGATGAAGTATTGATCCAATGACGTTAAAAGCGTACACATATCAGCCCCCTGTGAAATCTTAGGGTCCACTCACTTAGCTACAAACGTTATAATTTCGATCCCACTGAAATATATGTGAACACAAGTTTTTGAAATGTGGAGTCTCTGAAATGAAAAATTGAAAGGTTTCGAGGGACATCATGTTGAAAATCCCTTGGATATAACATTTAGACTTTCTAAGGAATATCCGTGTAGACGGGACCCTCCACAGTATATTCCACGGCTTTCAGGAAAATATCTTCAGGGAGTTATTGAAAGAAACGATGGTCTCGTTGAAACAGTAGGCTGACCACAGGCTTGTGAGTGTGGGCAGGCTCCCTCCTCTCTGGACTCTCAACAATGTAATTTCAAAAAAAATTTGCTGTTATAGTGTTGCAATGTTCCATTACATCTGTACTTGGAGGCAACAGACTAGTATCGTGCCCAAAAACCAAAAGCAGTATCTTAGATCCGATTGGTTTCAAGTAAGTATGGCTTTTCAGACTACTGGGCCTGGTGATTTAAACTGCAATGCGGCTTAACTCCACGGGTACAAAAAGTTACAAAACTTTGTATACAGGAGTGTGAAGAAATGTCCATACCTCAATGA